GCCTGTGCGACGCATGGTGTAAATCCATGCAGTCGCATGGTTCAACTGAAATTGCACTTTTGGTTTTTGGTATGCATGTGTGCGGCCACATGTGGTTTTGCCTGTGCAGCCGCATGGTGTTGTCTTCAGCCTCCGCTTTCGTCGCTTGATAACAAATTGATCCAAGTTGATTCGGCCTTTGACCCGAACATGAAAGTTGCTCCATTTTGAGTACCGAACATGGTTCCATCAATGGTTTCTTGAATGAGCAATCCCATCACTTGTTTCACTTGCTTTGCCCTTGATCGCATCATTGGTCCACCATCGACTATCAACGGGTCTCGTCTCGCACTTGCCTTCGTCAGGCTCAACTCCTGGATCATATCACCTACGCCGTGATGGAAGTACTTGATCCCACCAAGATATCGCTTAATCCACAAATTCAAGCACCACCAATTTTACCTTTTTCTCCTCCGAATAATTATAGCACTCAAAGATCATCTCAACCTTCCTTTCCCACTCTAAATATGCTTTCGGATCGCTTCTCCCCTTAAATTGCGAAATAGTCATTTTAATACTCCCCAAATTTTCATCTACTTTATCTCCCAAGTTATTTCTACCCCGTCTTTCCATCCTATCGCCCCTATGCCTCGCTCGACCCATATCAATGTCATTTTCATCAAAATCATCCTCATCACTATGATACTCATCCCCCGATTCCCTAACATTAGACATCTCCACTTGTCCCCGGCTAAGATTAGCAACTGTAGTACCTATTTGCGCCATCCATTCCCCTTGCCTATCCACCTTCTCCTTAACATCACCAAGTACCCTTTCAAACCTCCTTATCATATCCTCTGATGCATTGTTGTCATTACCATTTTGGCTTGAATTAGAACCTTCTCTTTCCGACATCATATCATACAATTTTTTTATGCTTCACAAAGATTTCACTTGGAAAACACTCATTATGGTTTTTTCCTCTATTAAACTCACCACTCGGCCTTTTACCACTCAAAGTCTCCCTCCAAGAACTTCAAAGAACCAAGTGAACTAAATCAATTGTTTTACCGGGAATTCAAACAAATCGAATATTAATCGAAGACTACGAGACTCAAAGGACTTGAATAAGTGGAATAGATGCATGTTTTGACAAGAATATCTGAATAGACTCAATAGAAGATTGAAAGAATCGAACCTAATTGAATATCCCAAAGTCAAACACAATGTAGGAATTGTTGTTGGTAGAAAAACAAAATCAAACAATAATAATATCAATTTTTTTATTTGTTTGTGAACAGTACTTCGAGATGAACAGTACCTTGAATGTACAGTAACTTTTTTTTTTGTACTCATTTTTTTTTTTACTCCTTGATGAAAGAAGATGATTAAACTACCAACAACTCAACTCAATGATGAAAAGAAAAACAAGAACGAAGAAGAACTAAGAACGGACAATTAAAATTGAAGAAGAAACTAAGAAACAAAATTAACGACTCAAACAAATAAAGAAAAGATATAACCTTCAATTAATTTGGAGCCAAAGCTCTGATACAACCTGATGCGAACCCCGTAACAACATTGACTACGAAACCCACAACAAGATTGACGAACCCAAGAAAGCCAAATTAATCCAAGAGTTTAGGATTAACCTAAAAGAAAGTCGAACCAAAAAACCCAACAAGAACGACACTTGAAAGACCCCTTGATCATGCAATCCAAGAATTAAATCTGGTTGTTTGAATGCCACAAGTTAACACTTGATAAGTTCGAAGTTGTTCAATGAAGAACGATGAAGAGAAAATAATAAGCCTCACTTTAATTCAATATCAATAATGTCAAGTTTTTTAGCAATTGAACGGAAACTCCTATTTATACTAAACCTAAAAATTAGGTAAAAGTCGTGCAAAAGTTGATCCAAGTCGATTCGGCCTTTGACCTGAACATCAAAGTTGCTCCATTTTGAGTCCCGAACATGGTTCCATCAATGGTTTTTTGAACAAGCAATCCCATCGCTTGTTTCACTTGCTTGCCCTTGATCGCATCATTGGTCCGCCATCGACTATCAACGGGTCTCGTCTCGCACTTGCCTTCGTCGGGCTCGACTCCCGAGTCATATCATGGCCTCATCTTTATCAAACTTCTTTGTCTTCATCTTCGTCTTCCAAAAAATCACAAGGAGTTTAGAACTTAACTCTTTTTTTTCATTTCGCTTTTCTTGTTTGTTTGGGTTTGTAACTATCTGACTAATCAAAGTGCAAGGGCAATCTGATGAAGTATCATCAGATGATTGTACAAGGAAGATGAAAGGTAGGTTATAGAAAAAAGAAGGGAAACAAATGATAAATAAAGGAATTTTGGATTGATTGGGTTAGGAATCTAAGTTTGGATTTGGTATGGATAAAAGAACTTCCTATGTTATACTATTCAAGTCTCGAAGATGAATTGATTTGATACCTCAGATATTGTTATTCATGATATTGATCCGATTCAAGATCGTCGAGCGGTAAATCATTCATTGAATTTACAGGCGAAAGATTTATCATCTCTATGGGATTAAATCCCGAGTTATTGCGAAGTAAAAAAACCGATGAGATTATGGAAGTAAATATTCTTGCATTTATTGCGACTGCACTATTCATTCTAGTTCCTACCACTTTTCTACTTATCATTCAAGTAAAAATAGTCAATCAAAATAATTAATTCAATTTAATTTTCAAATTCATTTGAATGAAACTTTCCTTCTGAGTTCTTGTCAAAAATGGACGAAGTAAAATGAAAAGGATTCCAATTTCGTGTCTTAAATGAAATGAGCAGACTATAATCGACAATATTTTATGAATTCGATAGTATGTTGAGAAAGAAATAGATGAATCTTTCTTACCATACTATCTATCTCTTAGTCTATAAAGTTATACTCTAAACTAAAGATAGAGGCTTCATTTTAAATAGATCAATCTAAAATATTCCCTTCATATATGTGTATATAAATTCCCTATATTGTATGGAATTGACATAGCACCCAATTCTATTTATTTGCTAGATCTACTTGTTCCGATCAATCTAAAATAATTGCCTTAACTCTTATCTTATGATTTTAATTATGATTCGAATTACTAGATTTTTTATGATTTCCAATCTGAATATCGGTATTTATGGAAAGAATCAATGATTGAAAAACAATATGGGCATATAGATTATTAAAATCGCTTAGTAATCATTTTTTTAGTATTTTGAAGAAATAATTGATTTAACTATTGGCAAGAGGACCACAGGCACTTCTTCGGATTTCAAAAAGGAAGAATAAACCTCACCGATTTTTAACGCTTGAACCATGATATGAAATAAGTCAGTCGATAAAGAAAAAATCTCCTTTCTATAATTAGAAACTCATCAGTAAATGCACAATATGTGACTCACCTGAGGCAAGATCTTATTATTGCATAGTCTCTCGTTAGACAACCACAATGTCTATATCATCTCTCATAGAAAGTGTGTATACACTTAACAAAATGACTTCTTCTTTGAAGAGTCAAGAGGGATAAAAAAAAGGTCTGGTCTTCCTCAGTATCCATCTAATCTATAAGGATAGTAAGAGCCCCCTTAATTGAAATAGAAAATTTCAGAAGAATTAGATTGGAAAAAATTTCCAATCATCTGGATCCCTTTCCTTTTGAAATACAAATATGGGAATCATTGAAATAGTTCTTTGATTGAAAGAGTATGATTCCTATCATACATTACTCCATTGGACTCCAATGGAATTGAAAATTAAGATATTTTGATTTTAAATAGTTCAAAACGCGTTGCAGAACAATCTATAAAAACAATTGATACAGTTTGATTCCTCAACTCAATTAGTAGTACTTCTAAAGTCCACTTCTTCCCCACACTACGAGTGAAAGGAAAAATGTAAAGACTACCATTAAAGCAGCCCAAGCAAGATAATCATCTGGATCCCTTTCCTTTTGAAATACAAACATGGGAATCATTGAAATAGTTCTTTGATTGAAAGAGTATGATTCCTATCATACATTACTCCATTGGACTCCAATGGAATTGGAAATTAAGATATTTTGATTTTAAATAGTTCAAAACGCGTTGCAGAACAATCTATAAAAACAATTGATACAGTTTGATTCCTCAACTCAATTAGTAGTACTTCTAAAGTCCACTTCTTCCCCACACTACGAGTGAAAGGGAAAATGTAAAGACTACCATTAAAGCAGCCCAAGCGAGACTTACTATATCCATGTGAGTTATGTCCCCTATCTCTATAAATATGAAGGAATTATTCCATTATTCCTTTCTAATAATAGTGGAATCAATGGTGCAGAGTCAAAAAGGGATTCTGATCGAACACTATTAAGAAAGCAATCCAATAAATGATTCTTTTTTTTGAATCATGAAAGATTAAACACAAGCAAATACATAGTAACATCTCAAGGAAATGGGAACATGTAGGAATAATAAGGCCTATTCTTTTTTTTTTTGTTGACCTTCATAAGTAAAAACATAAAGGGGAAAATCACAAAAAAAGAGAAATCACTATATATTATAGATCCATATTTCCTTCTTTGTTTGATCTAATCCGTACCCCCTTTCCTGATTATCGCTGTGAAAGAAAGAGGGAGGCTTGACTAGGTTGCCGAAAAGAAAGAATTTAGTTTTACCCCTTTTTCTATAAAAGTCAATTATCCATCTAATCTAATATTGATTGAATACCTGAGCACTCCAAGATTCTCGCGAGTCTCTCGTATATAAAGTAACTTCCGCCCCTCTCCACATGAATCAGATTTCCTATCAGACTCTCCAATCTAATTCAAGATCCAGTCATTCGACACTACCTTAGTAATAGAAGGGAATCATGAAGTCTTGAAAGCCCCTCTATCATTAGATTAGAATATTTCCTTGAATCCTAGATGCAAGGATTTACAATCTTTTAGAAAACCCTTAGACTAGAATCAAACAAGTATTAACAGAACAGAAGAGAAAAAAAGATTTAGAGCTTTTTGTTGATTAGGCGACACCCAGATTTGAACTGGGGAAAAAAGATTTGCAGTCCTCCGCCTTACCCCTCGGCCATGCCGCCAAAATGATACAAAATGGATATGATAATTTTCTTGGATTACGGAATTTTTATTGTACTTGCATTTTGAGTCCTATTTTTCTGAATTATTTTCCTAAAAGAAACCTCCTTTTTTTATTAGATTTGATCCATCCCTTCGATTGATTGTATAGTATCTGAAAATCCACAATGCTAAAAAATATCTCTTTTTTCTATTGTGAAATAAAATGTGGATTTTCAGCTAAAATTTAGGACAAATTTAAAGAATTAACTATTGACTGCTTACTTCAAATTCATGGGCAATTTCGGGATTTGAATCTCCAAATTGTATTTTCCAAATGACATTATAAAATACAAATTGAGACAGAACTAATCAGCATTGATTTTTTTAATCAAAAAATCCTTATCAATTTCTATTATAACAAAATAGATTAGTATATGTAAACCCCAGAACAGAAATTATTACACAGATATCTATTATTTAGATATGTTGTCGATAGGGAATTATTAGAAAATTATCATACTTCCATTTTGCATTGAATAGAAATTTCATTTTGATGGAGCACGACCCCGACTGTTCCGAATAGAGCGACAAAAAAAGAAAAGTTGGATATTATAGCTATCTGCACAGCACACGTGTTTAATAAATGAAACTCTTCTTATACAGTTTAAATCCTATATCTACTCAAAAATAACTAAAGTCAAAATATCTTCTCTGCAAATCATTTTTTGAACAATAACATCCATAACATAAAGGTGGTTAAGTGTTAAAAAAATCATATATTGCTTCTGATTTTTTCATCTTTATCTCAGTGAAAAGATCAATTGTCGAATCCTTTTATTTTTCTCAAATCGAAATATGTAATATCATAATAATGGTAGAATTGTGATCATTTTGGTTTTTCTATTCTATACAAAACCCTATACCTTAATAAGTCTAAGTAGTAGAATTCTGTTCTAGGAATGTTTTATCAATTCCTTTGGATATGTTGCAAATTCCAATTTAAGTAGAAAATTATCTTTATTCCTCCGTTCATTTGTAGTTCATATATTCCATTACAAATATGAAGTCGGATAAAATTTCATGTGATTCAGTAAATAGAATAGGAATTCCATCATTGCTAGATCATCTATCTAATTCGCTATTTCAATGAAGAATGGACCAACAATTGGATTTTTTGAGAAATGTGAAATTCAAAATGCTCGGGGATGGAAATGAGGGAATGTCTACAATACTTGGATTTAATCAGATATAGTTTGAAGGATTTTGTAGGTTCATTGATTAGGGTTTGACAGAAGAACTTTATAAGTTTCCAAAAATTGAAGATACAGATCAAGAAATAGAATTTCAATTATTTGTGGAAAGATATCAATTGGTAGAATCGTTGATAAAAGACAGAGATGCTGTGTATGAATCACTCACATATTCTTCTGAATTATATGTATCCGAGGTTGAAAAACTAGTAGGGATATGCAAGAACAAACCATTTTTATTGGAAAAATTCCTCTAATGAATTCCTGGGAACTTCTATAGTAAATGGAATATATAGAATTGTGATCAATCAATTATTTCAAAGCCCCAATATTTATTACCGATCATAATTGGATCATAATGAAATTTCGTTCTATACTGGCACCATAATATCAGATTCGGAAGGATCAGAATTAGAGATTGATAGAAAGAAAGGATATGGGCTCATGTGAGTAGGAAACAAAAAATATCTATTCTATTTCTCTCATCAGCTATGGGTTCGAATCTAAGAGAAATTCTAGACAATGTTTGTTATCCTGAAATTTCTTTGTCTTTTCTGAATGATAAGGAGAGAGAAAAATTGGATCAAAAGAAAATGCAATTTTGGAGTTTTATCAACAATTTACTTGTGTAGATGGGGATCCAGTATTTTTTGAATCCTTATGTAAGGTATTGCAAAAGAAGTTCTTTCAACAAAGATGTGAATTAGGAAGGATTGGTCGACGAAATATGGACCGAAGACTGAACCTTGATATACCCTAGAACAATACATTTTTGTTACCATGAGACATATTGGTAGCCGCTGATCATTTGATTGAACTGAAATTTGGAATGGGTACACTTGATGATATGAATCATTTGAAAAATAAATGTATTCGTTCTATAGTGGATCTTTTATAAGATCAATTTGGATTGGCTCTGGTTCGTTTAGAAATTGTGGTTCGAGGAACTATATGTGGAGCAATTCAGCACAAATTGATACCGACTCCTCAGAATTTAGTAACTTCAACTCCATTAACAACCACTTATGAATCTTTTTTCGATTTAAACCCCTTATCTCAAGTTTTGGATCGAATAAATCCATTAACACAAATAGTTCATGGGAGAAAATTGAGTTATTTAGGCCCTGGAGGACTAACAGGGCGAACTGCTAGTTTTCGGATACAAGATATCCATCCTAGTCACTATGGACGTATTTGCCCAATTGACACATCTGAGGGAATCAATGTTGGACTTATTGGATCGTTAGCAATTCATGCTAGGATTGGTCATTGGAGATCTCTAGAAAGCCCATTTTATGAAATTTCTGGAAGATCAACATGGGTACAGATGCTTTATTTATCACCAAGTAGAGATGAATACTATATGGTAGCGGCAGGAAATTCTTTGGCATTGAATTAGGATATTCAGGAAAAACAGGTTGTTCTAGCTCGATACCGTCAAGAATTCTTGACTTTTGATGGGAACAGGTTCATCTTCGAAGTATTTTTCCCTTCCAATATTTTTCTATTGGAGCTTCCCTCATTCCTTTTATCGAACATAATGATGCGAATAGGGCTTTAATGAGTTCTAATATGAAACATCAAGCAGTTCCGCTTTCTCGGCTCGAGAAATGCATTGTTGGAACTGGGTTGGAATGACAAGCAGCTCTAGATTCAGGGGCTCTTGCTATAGCCGAACGAGAGGGAAAGATCATTTATACCAATACTGAGAAGATCCTTTTCTCAGGTAATGGAGATACTCTAAGCATTCCATTAGTTATGCATCAACATTCCAACAAAAATACTTGTATGCATCAAAAACCCGAATTTTAGTAGATGGTGCTGCTACGGTTGGTGGTGAACTTGCTTTGGGGAAAAACGTATTAGTAGCTTATATGCCATGGGAAGGTTACAATTTTGAAGATGTAGTACTCATTAGTGAGAGTTTGGTATATGAAGGTATTTATACTTCTTTTCATATACGGAAATATGAGATTCAGATTCACGTGACAAGCCAAGGCCCTGAAAGGATCACTAATGAAATACCACATTTAGAAGCCCATTTACTTCGTAATTTAGACAAAAATGGAATTGTGATGCTGGGATCTTGGGTAGAGACGGGTGATATTTTAGTAGGTAAATTAACGCCCCAAATGGTGAAAGAATCATCGTATGCCCCCAAAGATAGATTGTTACGAGCCATACTTGGCATTCAGGTATTTACTTCAAAAGAAACTTGTTTAAAACTACCTATAGGTGGTAGGGCTGGGTTATTGATGTGAAGTGGATCCAAAAAGGGTGGTTCTAGTTATAATCTAGAAACGATTCATATATATGTTTCCCAGAAACGTGAAATTAAAGTAGGCGACAAAGTAGCTGGAAGACATGGAAATAAAGGTATCATTTCCAAAATTTTGCCTAGATAAGATATGCCTTATCTACAAGATGGAAGACCTGTAGATATGGTTTTCAACCCATTAGGAGTACCTTCACGAATGAATGTAGGACAGATATTTGAATGTTTGCTAGGGTTAGTATGGGGTCTGCTAGACAAACATTATCGAATAGCGCCTTTTGATGAGAGATATGAACAAGAAGCTTTGAGAAAACTAGTGTTTTTTGAATTATATGAAGCTAGTAAGCAACATCGAATCCATGAGTATTTGAACCCGAGTATCCAGGAAAAAGCAAAATATTTGATGGAAGGTCTGGGAATCCTTTTGAACAACCCATTCTAATAAGAAAGCTTATATCTTGAAATTAATCTATCAAGTTGATGATAAAATCCATGGACATTCCAGTGGAAATTATGCACTTGTTACACAACAACCCCTTAGAGGAAAGGCAAAACAAGGGGGCAACGAGTAGGAGAAATGGAGGTTTGGGCTCTAGAAGGATTTGGTGTTGCTCATATTTTACAAGAGATGCTTACTATTAAATCTAATCATATTAGAGCATGCCAAGAAGTACTTGGTACTACGATCATTGGAGGTACAATACCTAATCCTGAGGATGCTCCAGAATCTTTTCGATTGCTCGTTCGAGAATTATGATAGTTAGCTCTGGAACTGAACTACTTCCTTGTGTCTGAGAAAAACTTCCAGATTAATAAAAAGGAAGCTTAATCAGAATGAATCAACCAAATTCTGATTTTACAGATTCGGAATGAGAAACTGTCATCCCAGTCAATCCAATTGGGATGCCCTGGACCTGACATGTCACTTGGCAGGAGTAACATGAAGCTCAGAATTAGGGGTGTAGTCAATACTCCCAAATCAAAAGGGGAATTGATCTATGGTCGATTTCGTAACAAATAAATACAAATTTCTATTTGTACCTCGTAAAAAAAAAAGACTTTTTTGTTTTGTGGAATTAACCTTTCTTTTGGAAAGAAATTATGTTCAAGTAAGCGCAAATATGTCATGGTTACAGGAGTCTATCCATCGCGTATAGGCTTTAAGGGCATCGTAGCATAACCGTCGAGGTGAAGTCGGGACCTAAAAGATCGCATGGATCAATACATAGACAAGTAAATCCCTTATGAATTCCAAGGTACTCCTTTACTTTCACTTTAATTCTTAAATTAAGAAATAAGGGATTCATCATTCGAAGGGAAGTAGACTACTCAAGAATTTCACATTTCATTTATGTCGTAACTGAATAACGAATAAAGAAAATCTAAATAAAAAGAAGGCAAAATCAATGAAATCTTGCTTGGTCTTCACTGGGAACTTGAGTAAGGAATAGATCTTTTTGGTTTGGGGTTTTCTAGAATTTGCAAGCGAGAAATC